CCCCCACCCCATGTACACTAAAAATTGAAATAGTGAAGAAGAAGAAAAAGGACGAAAATAAAAATATCCGAAGAAGAAACTGTATGCGATTAGTCGAAAACTTAGGGGTTGTTACGATCTGATGAAAACTGGTGAATAATAAAAGAGAAATCAATATKAAAAAGGAGCTTAGAAGGGTYTTTAATTGAACATCAAAAAGGAGCTTAGAAGAGTATTTAATTGAACAAAAAATTATTTGTTAGGGTTTCACGATGGCTACACAAAKTAAAATAAAAAAATTATGGAAAAAARGAAAATATTTATAAAAATATATACACATCTACAAAATAAATCATACCTTCATAATTGTGATGCATATATGCCAAACCTATAAAACATAAGAACAAAAAACAGATCAATAATCGAAAAAACCAAAAACAGTAAGACGATAAAACGTATATAAATCATACGATCAAAGAGAGCAAATAGCATATGAKATAAACGCATGAAAATCACAAAACATACATGTCTATTCTTGTTCGTGATTAAAGATCGTACGAAAACAAAAATGCATGAACATAAAGATATGACATAAGAACAATAAGAAATAAAACAGACGATCATAAGCACTAAAAAAAGTAATTATAAAACAAAATCACAGAACATACAATGAAGAACAATATTAAAAGAGAGTAGAAACGGCTGATTAGGTTGGCAATGGAATAAGGACTATATATATAAGAATCGACCAAAACCCTAAAAATACAACTATATATACGAAGTTATAAAGCTGATACCTAGGATTTTACATAAAATATYGGCTATGATAGAAAAGTCTAACCCAATAAATATTGTAATAAAAAAAATCGATGGCACACAAAATAATTAAGCAATTTCATTAAGGGTATTTTRGGCAAAACAAGTCTCAAATTCGCTGTAGAGCCGACACGTAGGAAAAGTGATTTCTCATTTATAAGTATAGATAGATCGCATGATTTTTAATGGGAAAATTGTCCCAATTGCCATTTCAGGGAAAGTTCTTAAAATAATACCATAAATCTGACGTCTTGCCAAAATTGCCACAAATTAGAATTAGAGACAGATAGAATGACTATTTTGCCCTTCTAATTTATTCATCCTTATACCATCATGACATTATTGTCTGGTTTTATCCACCACCACCACTTGTCCACCGTCTCCGACACCGTCTTCCGTCTCCGTTTTCGTCTTCCGTCGTAACCACCATCTCTGTCCTCCATCACTGTCTCCGTTTACGTCCTCCGTGTCTCCGTTTACGTCTTGTGTGTCTCCGTTTTTGTCCTCAGTGTATCCGTTTTCATC